CCTGAGGCTACACCTCACCACACTGCAGCCTCACCCTGGCTACACCTCACCACACCCTGAGGCTACACCCCAACTCCCCCCCACACCTCACCCCCACTACACTCCACACCCCTCACCTGCAGTCATGCTCGAACTCCTTGGACTCGTCGGTGCAGTAGAAGAAGCGGCCCTTGAAGAGCTGCACAGCCACCACGGCGAAGATGAACATGAAGAGCATGTAGACGATGAGGATGTTGAGCACATTCTTCAGGGAGTTCACCACGCAGTCAAACACCGCCTGTGGGGACGGGGACAGGGACAGGCCCGGGCACGGGGGTCAGACGCACGAGTCCACCCTGTGACACCTATAAGGCGCGGGACAGGAACATGTGTGCGCTCCGACTCGTACCTTCAGCTTGGGCAGGCGCTTGATGGTCTTGAGTGGCCTCAGCACTCGCAGGACACGCAGGGACTTGATGGTGTTGATGTCCTTCCCCTTGCTGCTCCCCCTGCAGGCCGGATGAGGAACAGCCAGTCAGGCAGGCACTGGGCTTGATGGGCGCCATACAGCGCCATCCCCTAGAGGCTGCTGGGGACACTGTCACCCTGGCGCACTACACGAGCAATGGCTTTACGTGACATGACTTCTTACAGATCCATCACTCGCCCTGCCCTGAGCTCACTCACACAGCCTCGGGCTGGCTGTGTCTCCTATCACCCCTCCTCTCGCAGGGCAGCATGGGTACAGACCAGTCAGCCCTAGAGCCCGTGACCAGAGTGTTAGCCACTGTTACTGTGGAGAGAAGGCAGCTCCCTGCACTCTGCTCTCCAGATAGAGCTCCACGGGGAGGGGAGACTGGGGCTTGGGGTTCGAAAGGAGACACAGCCATGCCCTCAACACTTTAACCCCTTCATTGCTGCACACATGACTAAAACAAGATCAGATCTTGTCACCTCTTGTGGTGGCATTTCCATAGGATAAATTACGTCATATGACTCACAAAGTACTATACTGTTTTGAGAAGGGAGGTCTCAGTCTTCACTGCTCTCCCTTCATTCTCACACCTCTATAACAGCACGTCCTGTGCTGCAGCTTTAGACCTTACTTCCTGTGGTGTGATTCTCTCTGATTGCTCTATAATTCTACTTCCTTTGGTGTGATTCTCTCTGATTGCTCTATAATTCTACTTCCTGTGGTGTGATTCTCTCTGATTGCTCTATAATTTTACTTCCTGTGGTGTGATTCTCTCTCTATGCTCTATAATTCTACTTCCTGTGGTGTGATACTCCCTTGTTGCTCTATAATTCTACTTCCTGTGGTGTGATTTTCTCTGGTGGCTTTATAATTCTACTTCCTGTGCTCTAGTGTTTCCTCTGGTGCCTTGCTGCCTTCCTTCGATATTGCGGGTCCAAAACCTTACTTCCTGTGGTGTGATTCTTTCTGGTTGCCCTATAATTCTACTTCCTGTGGTGTGATTCTCTCTGGTTGCTCTATAAGTCTACTTCCTGTAGTGTGATCGTCTTTGGTTGCTCTATAATTCTACTTCCTGTGCTGTGATTCTGGCTGGTTGCTCCTGGTTTCGATGGTCAGAGCTACACATCCAGAGCCCATTGCTCTTTGCTTACTTCTAAAACATGGGCTGGTAAAAAACATGTCACAGTAAAAAAATGAAACAGATGGCCTGTGACACATGTAGGCACCCTGTGTTTGCCAAGTTTTTGCCGCTAGAGGTATTTATTGATGAGACTTTAGCAGTGCTCCAGATGGAGAGCTAATTGTGTTAGAACCAAGGATTAATTGATTAATTAATTGATTGGTTGATTTAGCCAAGAGAAAAAAAACCCACAGCAGGTAGAAATATTGGAAGATACAGTGGCAAAAGCTCTCACTGTGACTCATCTGACTCAAAACATCAGAATTGAACCAAAGACAAATTAGGAGATCCAGAGAGACAGAGAGAGAGCTTAACAGCAGGAAAGGGAACAGAGGGGGAGACAGGCCATCGTTTGTCAGACAGCATTGAGACAAGAGAGAGAGAAAGAGGAACTTTACCGCGTGCTGCTCCTGTGTGGGTGACCAGGCGGAGACAGATGAGAGAGGGTCAGTGACAGCGAGAGAGAGAGAGAGAGAGAGAGAGGAGGGGAGGAAACACATTGACATGAGAGAGACAGAGAGAAAGAGAGACAGGCCTGTGTGTGGAAGGCAGTCCCCTGCTGCTGGGCTCTCTGTCCCCAGCCTAGAATGACAATCGCAGCCTCAGCTCAGTCCTGCAGAGCAGGCAGGCAGGCAGGCGCGCTCGGCCAGCCATTCAGAAATACTCATGCATCTTTCAGCTTGCAGAGAACCACATCCAAACAACCAGCGAATCGGATCCGACTGTTCGGCAGCTCCTCAGCACCCTGGCACGGTCCGCTGAGCTCCAGACGGAGGTGGCTCTCGTGGGTTGAGCTTGGGGACGAATCGATTGGCCTTGGACCAAACCTGTTACTGTCCAGACTCGTCTCTCCGGCCAGCTCCCCTGTCCCCCTGGGCCCCTGGTCCTCCATCTGCACTCGAGGGGCGAACGTGTGAATAGCACGTTTCATTCACAAGGATCTCGGTGGACCGGGCCTAGAGCAGGGCACCCGCATCCCTCCCCACTGAGGTGCAGTCCCTCCCAGGAAAAAACTGCTGCACCAGCTGGGTAAAGGGGACAGCAGAGGGGCCAGACTGATGAGGCTAAGAATGGCGTTTAGCCACGACACCAGACTCTGACAAACAGTGCCCTGGGACCTTTAATGGTCACCTCACGGCCTCCGTTTAATGTCTCATCCAAAGGAGGTTCTGAAGGAAGCTCCCACAGCCGCATGGCCCCAGTCCCTGTACTGGGACACTGGTTTAGGGGTTCTGGTCCAGCAGGATGAGGGCCACCTACTGGTCCACCAGCACCACTTACAGCAGCAACCTGATTTTCCAAAGAGCTCCAGACCCGGGCTGGCCCTGCTGAGCCCTGCTCAGCCTCAAGGTGGAAATGCTGCTGTCAGTCTAGATAACACCGCCCATCTATTAGGTATGTATCTGCCCGTCCACCTGTCAAGCATATTTCTCATATCGAAGTCAGACCGAATCAGCTGGCGTTCAGAGCCAGCAGCCTGGTGTCACTGTCCTGATGCTTCGTCTATCGGATGCTCTCGGGAGGTCCTGGGCTCCCACGGGCTGGACATGCAGGCTGCCTCACCTGTGCGGTCGCTGTGGCCTGGGCTGTGACCGAACACGCTGCTGCTGTGGTTAGTCCCTAACCCAGGCCCGACACGGACACAGACGCACGTACAGCCAGCAGATCCCAGTCCACATACAGCACGGAGACAGGGGAAGGAGGGGGGAGGCAGGTACCAGGCTCACAGGCAGGGGGCACCGCTGTAACCCTGGGGCACCTGCCGATCTGGGGCAGCTGTCTCGTGCCTACGTTCCTACACTCGGAGATTTCCTTTCTCTCCCCCTTTTCCTATTGCCCTCATTAAGGTGGCACATTTCTGACCCCCAGGAGACTGGCCAAGGGGGAGAGAAGGAGAAAGGGAGGGGTTTCCCTCCGGAAAACATGCCGGAGCCGATGCAGGGCGGAGTGATTCCGATTCTCGCTCCCCCAGCGGAGCCCTGAGACAGACCTATCAAACATATATAGAAATACAGAGAAAGGTATATGCAGCCTGCTTCACAAGCCCGCCCTCTGTACAAACAGCCCTGGAGCTCCTACCAGTGTCCCAGTATTGATGAACAGCTTCTCGTTAAGAGTACGTCTGACGATCAGCAGTGCAGTAGCCGCTGGTGAAGCAGACTGTATATAGGCACACAGTATATATATACTTTATATATGCACTCTGGCCATTCTGCTGTATATACATCATATATCTTTGATAGGTGGTGAGAGATCTATTTGTCTACATACAGGGCGAAGCACACACACAAGAAACCATTCCACCTGTTACCTCCCAATCGCCCCGCCCCTGCGATATGCCCCACCCCGCGCCCTGCCCCACCCCATGCCCTGCCCCACCCCACCTGCTATGCCCCGCCCCCACACCCTGCTCCCGCCGTGCAGAGTAAAGGACAAGTGAAATACCTCGATCCCGCGCACAGCTGCTCCGACGGACATGAACAGCTAGAACAGCCCTGGGCACTAAAGGGTTACAGGTGCCTGGGGTCGTCACTCACACGGAAGGGTGCGGCGGCTCACAGCTGGGGGGGGTGGGGGGATGCTGATGGGAGTCTGGGGCGGATTGGCGCGGACTACTGCCCCGGATCCCGAATGAGGGATGGAGTGAGAGAGGGCAGGTGGACGAGAGTGCATGAGCCCAGAGGAGAGGGGTTAGAGGAGTGAGAGAGACAGGGAGAGACTGAGAGAGGAGAGGGGTTAGAGGAGTGAGAGAGACAGGGAGAGACTGAGAGAGG